AGCATTTATGGGTTAGTTTACAATTGAACCTATCTTTACTCCGGAAACTTCGAAAATTCTCACCAACTTCCTTGACTTTGTTGTACTTGGTGGTGTCAATCTCATCGTGCAAACTTATATTTTTTGTATAGCTCTCAAAATACATAATAATTTCTAATGTAGGTTTGTTTTCAGTCGAATATTATTATAGAGAATAGACGATAAAATTTAAATTCATAATCTTTAAATTTAAAAATAAAAAATTATAATTATTAAATCAACTAATAACCTTGTCGACGAAAAGTTTATCTCATATGTCGACAACTTGAAGAATCCGTTGGTTTCTAGGACTTTTACCACCTCTGTTTGGCCACTCAGAAATTTTGGAACAACTGAGAGTTTTCCCTATCCACGCGGTGCCATGAGTGCGTGCAAGTTAGTTTCCTTATAAGACAAGTCCTCATAAGTCTTAAGTCCATCATTAAAAATAAGTGCATCATCAATTAAAAATATATGATATTACCTTTTTTTTTTAACGGTCTAAGGTGTCTAATTTAACTTACACATATTTTAATTAATTTTTTTTTTAATTTAGTCAAAGACAAGTCATCTGTGCCAGAACTAAGATATTTATGAAGGATAAATCTCTCGAGACTTAACTTTAGAAGATTGTAAAAATCTAAACTCAAAAAGTTTGGGTTTACAGCTTATTCTTGTTATTACTTAAGATCAGGAGCGACTCAAGCCAATTTGAGACCTAAAACGGAGATATTAAATGGAGGCCTTTTATTTTTAGTATTATTTTTAATTTTCTATATGAGAATGAGACAAAAGAAAGATGTGTTAATATTATCGAAAAAAAGATTTTAACTTTTGATTTTTTTTTTACCGAAGTGAGAGAGAGAGAAAAAAAAAGTTGATGAAAGTATATATAAGTTGACTTTTGAGTATTTTTTTAAATTTTTTTAATTTTTAAGTTTTTAATGTTATGAATTAAATTATATGCATAAATTATTGCAATAAAATTTTTTGATTGGATTTAATTTTTTGGGGCTATTTCGTAGGACTTAAAATTTAATGGATTTAATTTTTTTGTAGACTAGTGATATATCTAAAATTGTAGAGCCTTTTAAAAATTTGGAGGATAAAACCTATGTTTATTTTTTCGATACAGTTGGATCAGCTGCCACTTGGGGTTAAATAAACATATACTATGAGTAATCCGTATCTAAAGACACAGTACAATGTTAATGATTTTGAGAGAGATTTTGGTAGCCGTTAGATAAATCTATTTGAAATCGTCGGATGAATTTATTGAAATCTGTCATGATTTATATTATAGATTACTAGCTTCAAATGTTTCTTATTTGTATGCTTAATCAAGAACCTACCCAGGGGGAAAAAATAAAGATAAATAAAATTTACCTTAATTATATGAAAAATCAGTTTTATCCATTTGAATTGTGATAGGAACAAGCCTATGATCCCAATATTTTCCACATGTTGTTAGTAAGGTTTTCCTGAAATAAAATTTGTTTAATTCGTGGTGTTTACTAGTTAGGGCATCTTCGATCCTTACTCAAATATAAACTAAAATTTAAATTTTAGTAAAAAAATTTAAAAAACTTGCTCCGACCCTTAACTCAAGCTTATACAAAATTAAGAGAAACTCATTTTTTTATTCAAATCAAGGGAGATTTAAATCTTTAATACTGAGATTTCACCATTTTTTAAAGATCTAATGGTCATTGTTACCCCATTTTAAATTTGGGTATCTCTTTCTTTAAATTTGAGTTTGTCCATTGAATTCTTTTATATTAAATCAAATTTTTTACTCAAATATTAATTTAAATTTAAATAAAAAATTGAGTCATGTTTCGAGACGCTGTTAATACCTTTTGATTGAATCTAATCCATTGTTTTTCCTTTTGGCCTACGTCCGGACAAAAGATTCGAACCTAAGTTGTCCAAATGGTCATAAGTGACACTTTTTTTGAGTTAGGATTAATTTTTTAATTTTAGGGTGAATTATATTTTATACCCTTAAAAATTTTAAGATTCTTACTTTATATTCTTAAAGATTAAATTTTTTATATTGTATATTCAATATATCAAAAGTGTTATAACGTGACATTTCGATTAGTTTTCCGTTTGTTTTTCTGCTAGTGTTAATGAATTGATTTTGACTTTTGATAATGAAAGTTAATAGAAGGGTAACATTGAAACATTTTTGATACATTGAGAAAATAATATGAAAAATTTAATCTTTGAAAGTATACAGTGAGAATTTTAAAATCTTTCAAAGTACAAAATGTGAAAAAAATAATTTTAATCTAAACTAATTTTTGAATAGCACAAAGGAATAATTAGGATGCTTAAGTTTGGACTACTATACCCATTTTTTTTTTGGTACATAGAATCCAGTCCTAGCTTTTTGATTGTGTTATTCTGAATTTTCGAGAGAGGAATATTTGATTGAATATCTTGATGGCATATTGGGCTAAAAGTTTCCAATATATATATATATATATCAAAGTTAGGCCTATCACCTATCTATCTTTTTTTTTTGACGGTCATGATTATTTGGGTCAATCAACGTGCACCGCGACTATTTCTGTTCTCGATTCGGTTAAAAATAAGTCATTCATTTCGCATTAAGTCTAGGGTATTCATGAGGGTTTTTCTTCAAGAGAATGAAAAGATTCAAACTTAAAACGTTTTGAATTTATCGTTCATCCCTATTATCACTTGAGCTACCCCTTAAAGTTATCATTTTTCTATATTCCTGTTTAACAAGAAATAGGTGATGTTCAACTATGATGCCTATTTTTCTGTTAATGCATACTTCCCCAATAAGAGTAAGTTCATTACTGCTAAGTTTTGCAACTAGAAAAATTACACCAACAACCTTTATGATTTGATTATATTTTGTGGGATATATTTCATCGTGTCTAAAATTATTGTTGGAAATAATGGTAGTGTTGAATGAGAAATTGTTAAAGACTATGTGACTTTTAGGAGCAATTGAAAAGGTTGTTAAAGTATTTGTGATTTTTAGGAGCAATTGAAAATGTGTGAAGTGAATATGACATGAAAGACTACTACTTCAAAATTGGTGACTTTTGGTTAAATACATCAATCCTAATAGTTACATCTTTTTCATAAAACCTTTATTAACACATTTTGGTTAAAAGACACCATTACAAGTAGTCACAATTTTTTATAAAAGTCACTAGTGATATCTCTTGGACTAAAAAACACTATTTCAAATGATTGTCCCTTTTCATAAAGTCACCATTGATACTTTTTGAATTAAAAAGTATCATTACATTAGGTTATAACTTTTATAAAAAGTCACCAGAGTTTATAAATAGGTGATTCATTGCATTCTCAAAACATACCATTGAACAATTTAAAAATTGCTTTCTCATTCTAATTCTTTCAATTATCCAAAATAATGAATTAAGCATTCATTATTGCTTCTCTCTTTTTGCATATTGCTGCATTATTATTTCAAGTTTAGTTCAAGTATAAATACAAAATTTTATTTATTAGAGTCTTGGAGATTAAAGTGTTGCATTCTTAAGAACGATATGCGTTCTATCTTAGGAGACAGTTGTTTATCAACCTTAACTATCGAGAGAGAACAAATTTGTTTTAAGAAAACTGTGATTACACAGAGTTCGGATTATTGTTGTTATTATTGAATTTCTAGATTTTACTATTCGTGTTGTTCTGCATCAATGTAAGTGCATTGATTTTGATTTATATACATTTATGTTTAGATTAGTGAATAAATTAGATTTTATACAGTTTAATATAATCTAAGTATATACATATTTCTATAACAATTACATCATGTCTCTTTTTACAATCCATCCCTCTAAAGAACTTAATGAACCAAATTGATCTCCATTTGTTTTTTTATTGAAAAATACTGAATTCTATAAGCAAGCACATGCAATCCACCATCCAAATATTTTCAATTCCAAAATAAACCTAACTTTGCAATTAATATATATATATAATTTCATTAAGAGGTGATACCATGGAGACAAGGAGAACGATTAGATGTTATAGCCTTGGTATATGACCTAGGCCTTTATTTGGTAAGTCTGGACATTTGCTGACATCATCACTTTCGGTGATCATCTTTGACTTCCGTCACAGTAGGAATGTCGAATATCAACACCAACTTAGGGGGATGATATGTAATTTCAGCTAACATTAGGATATCTCATGAATTAAGCAAAACTATTGTGGGTCTCACTGTAATTTTCCTTTTCTGCATTTTTACCTCTCATGGTATGTAATAACTATTGAGCGTAATAATTATACTACGTGGTTGGCAATGTCACGTGATTTAATTATGTAATGATAACTCACTAAACAACAAAAGTGGGCCCTTGTGATCGCCTTTAGACGATTATATCACGTGATAATACTAACATGGTGTAACTAAAGATGTCAAAATATAATATAATCCGTTGACTCGAACAAACATTATACAAAATTTTAAGATTTGTTTATTCCTTAAGTCACTCGTTTCATAAATGAGTGGACCCGATCTGATACTATTAATAAATGGATCAAATATGAGTGAAGTCAATTAAAAAAAATATACGACATGACACGTATACATACCGGTTATATAAAATTCATAGACGACACAAATTCGATATAAAACGATTTGTTAGAGTTAAATTAATAAATGAATTTGATATGAAAAAAATATTTTTTAGATATTAATTTATTAAAACCTGATACAAACTCACCTCGCCCTGACACCACCGAGGCCTAAGTGTGACCGTTACACTTAATTGTTTCATTTATGCAAGACAACGTTAATGTAGTGAAATTGTTACGCCCATTATTATTTATGAATTTACTGGCTTCAACGCGTTTGGATCGCGTGACATTCTAATCTTTATCAAAGTGTGAAAGGGACAAAGGCGGCGTAGAACAGCCGAACCTCCCTTCACGGGGTAAAACCAATAAAGAAAGGAAATGTAAAAAGAATAGGTCCTTAAGCTGCGCACCACCCACCCGTCCCTCCTCTCTCTTAATTTCTCGAAAATCTCACAAAATGGGATCAAAAGTCGTATCACTGAAATCGTAACGAACCTTCACAGAAATTCAACGAAAACTCTTCATATGATTTTGTCTCTATATACACCTTTTTGATTCTTTCGTTGACAATAAGCTTTTGATTGACCCTAGGGTTTCGTTTGGAACTGTGGACTTTTTTAGGGTTTCTAGACATTGAGGAGGAGGGAGTTAGGGTTTTGAATTGATCTGAGATTGCGATGTTGATGGCAGACGGTAGCTCCAACCTTTTACCCTTGGATGAATCATCGGCCAGTGACGATTATTCCAATGATCTCTACATCGATCTGGATTCGTTGTGGAGCATTCTTGGAGAGAATCCCGATCCTGCACAGGTTAATTTCGATTGTATTGTTTTGTCAATTTTTCGAAATTTTTGAAACAATTCTGATTCTTCAGTGTTATCAAGTGTATCATTGAGTTCAATTTATCCTCCACAGGTTAATTTCGATTGTATTGTTTTGTTAATTTTTCACAAATTTTGAAACAATTCTGATTCTTCAGTGTTATCAAGTGTATAATTGAGTTCAATTTGAGATCATATTTGGAAATTTTGAAAATCAGCTGTAATCTGTAATTGAGCATGTTTTAGTGGTTGTGTGTGAAATTCTGTTGAATTTGCTTATTGGGAAAGTCTGTGGTGCCCCGTGGTGATAGTTTAGAAGTCTCTGTTTATATGATTGGTGGATGTATTTTCATGCCAGGTCAGAAGCAAATTTTTTTTGACATCTAAATTACATGATCTGGATATCTTATATTTATCATAGCTGCTAATCTTTATATGAATTTCTCCCCTATTGCCATGTTGTTTGTAGTTTCGATTTTCCATAGTTTATTGAGGCAGTTTACGAGTTCTTCATTTTTTTTTTCACTTTCCATTGTTTGTAGAAGTAGCAGGAATAAGCGATAGAGTAAGAGAGGATTGGCTTAGGTGGGTTGGATATGGTTATAAAATATGATACCTATTGGCATGTGTAGAGGGAGAGAGAAGTTAACATTAAATGAGGCAGTAAAAAAGGGCATGAATATGATCCTTGATAGAGCACAATTGAGATACAGAAGTGCTGAGATAGCACACCATAAATATTGGGAACAAACTTTGTTGAGCTGTGTTGCTTGGATTACTCATTTTATTGTAATTTTTGGTGACATCACTTCAATGTGATGAACCATGGCAGATAGAATTGTGGTAAAAAGTTGTTTTTAGAGAATCTAAAGGGAGATGGGTCGGCTTCGATCATCTATATCTATACACAAGATCCTCTAGGAGTATTCATCCAGACTGTTTTCTTTGCCAAGTTTTTTCTTCTAGGTTATTGATTTATAAAAAACAATTTTAAGGCTGATACACTACTTTCTGATTGCACTGTTAATGGGCTTTTGACATATTGCTACTGTATTTTCTGTTAAAAATGTTTCACTTGATGCACATGCTGAAGATGGAACATGTTTTGCCCAAAATGGGAGAAGTTTTATATTTACTCATTGTCAATCTTTTCATTATCTGGGCTACTTTATCTCTTACTTACGTCCTCCTTCCTCTCTCGCTGCTTTAATTCTTTTTCTCCTTTTAAAAGTGTACATCATCCCCACCCCTTCTCAATTGGTATTGTGTAACTGGTTACTTATTTTGTGAGTTTTTTATTTGCAGAGTAGGCCAGAGGATTCCTCATTAAGTAATGTGCCCCAAGGTGAGTCAACTTCTAGTTTTGGCAATAATGAACAAACGTGGTCTGATTTGGTAAAGTAATGCTTATGGCGTTCATGCTTTTTTATTACTTCTGAGATCTCTACTATCATCATCGCTAGTGCAAAAAGTGGAAAGTGGTTTCCTGGGTGAAATTTTTGGTATGTTCTATGCTTAATTTTTATGTCTTTCTTCATTTCTTTGGAATGCTGATCAGGGTTGCCGAAGATGGAACAGGCACCTTCTTTTGGGGCTGAGTTACCAGGCTCTGTTGCATTTTCACCTTCATTCAATCCAGATTCTTCATATTCAAGGATGGGGTTTTCAGATAATTCATTTCAGTCCACAGGGAACTATTTTAAAAAGCTGGAACCTCCTTTGCAGATTGACTCCCCTGTGCTTAGCTGCTCCGGGAGTCTTACTGACTGGATGCCAGCGGTTCCAGGATATGGCCATTTCAGTGCAGATAGGGATGTAGTTACTCAGAATTCCTCGCCTTTTAACCTAGATGACAGTAAAGACCCTCAAAACAATACATCTGATGGTACTGACACATTTAGTTTTGCTGCTGGTGAGGTTAATCCTGTTTCCGCAAAAAGAGAGACTCCGGATTTTAGTTCCCTGAAAGGTGAGACTGGATTTCAGTTCAAGTGTTTGGAAGGGAATACTTGCTATGAATATATGTGAAATGTCAGCAATATATGTGAACTGTTGGCTTATAGACGTGAGCTTCGGCATTATATTCTGCTTGTACTTAGTTTGCTGTAGGTTCTTGTTATTTGCATGTCTGCTTTATTTAATTTGTAAAGTTTGGAAGGATGACTGACGGAAGTTTTCTGACATTTCAGATTCCCACCACATCCAATTGATAGAGAAAATGGATGTGAATTATGAAAAACATTGTGATTCAAGTGAATATAGTTTGAAAACCTTAGAAGCCAACATAGAGGAAGCTTCTTTCATGGATATTGGTATTCCTGATATTTTGTGTGGACCTGGTGATGAATACTCAAGTTTGTCGTATTGTTCGAGTACAGACGATTTGTTTGACTCTGGTTCCGTGAAACAATTTTTCCCCGATAGTTTTTATATTCAATCCATGTCTCCCACTGGTGAAACTATGATCAACATGAAACATGTAGGAGGGGAGATTTTAACTCAGAATGCAACCTTAAATAATGCTTTTGAGGCTCAGATTGGAAGAACAGGTGAACCTGTAATGGATGCTGAACGTACCAGTAGCTCTGATGCCAGGGTGCCTAAGGTCAAGTGTGAAGGTGGCTACTATATATCTCCAAATAGCAGTAATTTGTCTTATGGAAACAAACCATCAACACATCTGCTGCCTCATACTCAAAACAAGTTTAGCACAAAGCAAACGGTTTGCATGAAGGACGAAAAGAATGATGAACTGGTTGCATTGCAGAGCATGGCACACCAATCCTTTGAAGGCGATGACATGGTTTGTGGGATGTCTTCTGGTGTTGGTGATCAGCTGTCTGCTGATAGAGGCTTGAGGCAATCATTATCTGGTGTTCCACCTTCCATGTCAAGTGAGAATCATGTGATTATAAAGGATGAAAAAGATGTATTCCCTGCATCTAAGAGACGTAGCCATTCTTGTTTCAGAGATGAAAGTGATTGTAGAAATCCCACTTTGGTTGCAGATGGTCATTGTCTGGATGTAAAGATCCCAGTGCAGCCCCATGTCCAGGCATCCACCTCAATTACAAAGCGTCACCTAATGGAAGGAAACGATAGTTCACTGACTCCACCTAAGGGAATAGGTTCTCATCTTTTAGAAGTCGACCATCAAGTTCAGAATAATGCATTGGACTCCAGATCTCATGTTGATGATGACTCTGACATATGTATACTTGAAGATATGAGTGTTCCTGCTCGTGTAAGTCCATCTCCAGTGAATGGGACATCCCTCGTGACTTCACAGACTTCACAGTGTGCTACATTTAGTAAGCCCCTTAATCACAAGGGAGTGGGAGGTCTGAGGCTTAGGACAAATGATGAGCGATTCATTTTTCGAGTTGCACTGCAGGTGAGCATCGGCAATTTTTTTTGCTTATTCATTGCAGTTTAGCAGTGTACCATTGTTTTGATTCTTTGTTTATTCGTCTAAAACCTTATTATGTATTTGATCTCTCTCTCTCTCTCAACCCCAGAAGAAGAAAAGGAATTGAATGAAATGTTGATTTTGTGATGACAGGGAAAAATATATAATGTGAATAGTTTGGAGATCTGAGTAAAATTGACTTAGTAATGATACACTAATTTGAGAAATTGTTCTTTGCCAATTTTGCATACCTTGCCTATAGTTTGGAAATCTAAATGAAATTGACGAATTACTGATACACTAATTGAGAAATTGTTCTTCGCCAGATGACATACCTTACTGTTTACACGTGCTCTGGAATTGTTACCAGTTGTGTCACAGATCTGAACAAGATAGTTACCTGTACTTCAACAATGAATGTCCCTAAGGCATCAACTCAATCAGATGTTTTTCTTATTATTTTTTTTCCTGTATGTTCATTCATTTGACATTGAAGACATGGCACCAAATATTATTGCTTTTAGTTGGTATTGCCTTCTGAATCTGTACAGGAGCCAAAGCAGTAGTGGTAAAGTCGCATTGCCTTCATTTTTTAATCTTTTTCAGTTAATATTTTCCTGGTAATTATCTCATTCTCATTGTATGATACTGAACTTTTGATCTGATTCAATGGTGTTAGGATCATGGTTACCACAATTCACTAAACTCTTAACGACCAACGATCTGGGTACATCGATCCCAAACGAGGTGGATTTGCGATTCAAATCACCAAAATAAACGATCCCAAATTGTAATACTAACCTTAAATCAATTCACTTTAAAACATGTAACACAAATATAAAATACATATAAATTGATTGCATGTATATAAATTTATAATTGTATATTATTTTAGATAAACTATAAGATAAACGATAACCAACTTAGTGTTTATGAATGTTTTGTAATATATAATGTTGTATAGTAGTGAAAATGATCTACATAAGAGTTTCAAAACGAATTACAACCCAAAATATCGTACCAGCTAGACCTACTCCTATCGTACCGCGTACCTAAGAAAGTGTCGTATTATGTACCTGTACCCGTACCACGTACCAAAGCGATTCACAATCCAGGTGACACTGGTTAGGATGCATAAAAAAAGTTTGTAACACCCATTTGATGTGTAGCCTGTAATAAATACGGGGCAACAGTGGGAACCGGTAAAGTAGCACTGTTTTGATGTTTTTAAAGTTGTTATCAGTGGATATACCCTTGGTGCTTAGTCGTCTAATCTATATTGGATTCTTTGGTGATTGACTTGTGGGTAGATTATTGACATGAAACCCTTTTTTGACACGTATATTTGTGCTCTAACAAGGAACTTGGCTACAATGTATTTGAAAAGTATTCAAAGCTACAACTGTATTTGTGCTCTCTGTTCCAGTACTCAGACAATTTTTGCATTCTTCATTCTTTTCTCAGTATCATCGTTTGAAATGTACGCATGAGTCAAATATTGATCGATGTCTCTCAAATTCAGTGATTCCCCTTTAGAAAAAAATACGTGGAACAAAATAGTTGGGTCTAGGGATGTTGTGTAAGAAACGTGTCAAATGTGACCCATATGGCGTGTTTGCTGATCATATACATAATCATGCTCTCTGGATATTTGATTTATGCAACTGTGAGTTCTTGCACTGATCTGGAGAAGGTTTTTTTACATCTGTCAAGTGGTACAGCCTTTCTCTGGTAATTGAATGTTTATAATACTGAGGTTGTGACATGCATTGTAGGATCTCTCGCAGCCAAAATCAGAAGCTACCCCACCAGATGGTGTTTTGGCTGTTCCTCTTCTGAGACACCAGGTTTGCAGTGGTTTTTTGGGTTTATGTTTGAGATCTTTTTTGTCAAATTTTCCTGAGGCAGTTAACTAAAGACTAACAACAATACTGATACAAGAGGCCACTGTTTAAGATCTCATGCTAGAAAAATGATTTAAACCATTGCAAACAATAAAAATTTCTGCATTGGGCGCCTCATTCAAAATGGTCAATTGGCAAGTAGAATTTGGTTTAATGGCTGTGGCGCTTTGGTCTATGATATTGTATATGTATCGGGTGGAAAGAGCTTCAGGAATTCAGAATGTCCAAGGGTAATTGAAGTGTGACAATTTTTCAGATTAATTGTTTGGCATGTTGACATCCTATATCTTTAGGAGTAAGGATCAAAATTTCGTTTTCGTGCATCGTTTTGGTCACTTAGAAAGAGAAACATTTCGACGAATTTTGAAAACGTTTCGACCAGTTTTGTTAACAAAATGAAAAAAATAAAAAATTTAAGAATTATTTTTTCAAAATATTGGTTAAAATATACCAAAAAATCTTGAAATTCTTGAAAACATTCCAAAACTATTATGCAAATTCATTAAAACATTATGAAATAGCTCGAATTCCATCATTGATTCGTTTTGGTCTCTTTGAAATGTAAACGTTTCCACCTTTTCGAAACGAAATTTTGATCCTTGCTTAGGGATACCTTGTGCTGCAGTCCTGTGATCTATTTTTTCAATGCGTCGTGCATAGACTTCAAGTGTGGCATTTGGAAACGAAAATGTTTTTTTTTTTTTTTTTTGTGTGTAGCAGAGTTTCCTAGTTTACTATATTTGTGGGTTGCTTGTTTCTTTTTTGGGGGGCCTGCCAGTGGGTGGTGGAAGTGGTGTTGCTTGTGTGCTGCCTGCTGACATTTGTTGATTCTCTGGACAGCGAATTGCTTTATCATGGATGGTCCATAAGGAGACAGTCAGCTTACATTGTTCTGGAGGGATTCTTGCGGATGATCAGGTAAATTTTGTGGGGTTTTATATAATCTGATATTTCCCTGATGCTACTTGATGAACATTGGTCAAGGAACTGAACTTTGGGTTTTGTACAATCACGCTGGCAGGGACTGGGAAAAACAATATCAACTATTGCGCTTATATTAAAGGAAAGATCTCCATCCTCTAAACTGTGTAGTACAACCGAAACAAAACAAACTGAGATGGAGACACTAAATCTGGATGAGGATGAGGATGAGGATGAACCTAAGCTTGATGGATTGAAGCAAGCTGCCCAATCTTTTCAAGTTAATGGAAGCACAATTGATTGTAGGAGCACTTCTGTGCTAGGAAAAGGTAGGCCAGCTGCTGGTACCCTTGTTGTTTGTCCTACTAGTGTCCTTCGGCAATGGTATGAGGAGCTGGGTAATAAGGTAACCAGCAAAGCAAATCTATCCGTTCTACTATATCATGGTGGCAACAGAACGAAAGATCCATTTGAGCTGGCCAAATATGATGTCGTACTTACGACATACTCTATCGTAAGCATGGAGGTCCCAAAGCAGCCTCTTGTCGATGAAGATGATGATGAGGCCGGAAAGCAAGGTCAATTTCCACCTATGGGATTTTCATCCAGTAAAAAAAGGAAATATCCTCCTAGCTGTGATAAAAGATCTTTGAAGGGTAAGAAAGGAATTGATAATGATTTGCTTGAATCTACTGCTCGACCTCTTGCCAGGGTTGGATGGTTTAGGGTTGTACTGGATGAGGCTCAAAGCATAAAGAATCACCGAACTCAGGTAGCTAGGGCTTGTTGGGGTCTCCGTGCGAAGCGTAGATGGTGCTTGTCAGGAACACCCATCCAGAATGCAGTTGATGATCTTTATAGCTACTTCAGGTTTCTGAGATACGACCCATACGCTGTATATAAATCATTCTGCTCTACTATAAAGGTCCCGATTCATAAGAATCCAACAAATGGGTACAGAAAGCTACAAGCTGTCTTGAAGACAATAATGCTACGTCGAACTAAAGGTGATACAATAGGGAAGATTTGCGTGCATGTATCATTGCTGCATTTTTGATGAACACCTGTCCAAAGTTCATTGTTTTATTTTTGTTTGGTTTTCATGTCGTCCTTGAGTTTTCTGAAGGATCTGCTAATGCATTGAATATATCTTGGGGCTAATTGTTTATGAGACTTTTCTGGTTTCTCATCCCTTGAAAATTTGAGATGCTTCTCTGTTGTCTTCCATAATTTATAATTGCTGGAAATGTTGACTTCAAACATCTATCGTGGCTTTGGGTTTGGCTGGGAATGTCTTGTCCTTGGATTTATGGGGTCATTTTTCTTTTCCTATTGAAAAATTGGGAACCTTGACGTCAGTGAATAATCTTTGTAGAGGTTGTGGAGACCTCAATTTCTCTTTCCCGGGCAATTTTCTGAGGTTTCCTTGTAAATAGTGTATTGTGGATCAATGTGGCTGCAGTGATTTTCTGTTGTATGCCATAAATTGCTTTTTTCTTTTGTCATGTGACATATTTTAGAAGGAAACAACTCTAATGGATAGCATTGGCTTACAGTGTCACTGAGGAATACTCTATGGTGGGTAACCGCATGTAAAGTCCTTCTTACTATATTACTTCTAAAATTTGTTATGTGGTTAGAGGAAGTTACACTACTAAAAATGTCAAAAGGTTAGTTGTCAATAAAATGAAAAAAGCACTAGTATGGTTTATTTCTTTAACAATTGAGCCTTGTTTAAGGCCCATTTCTATTCCAATGACCTCAATGTGAATAAGGTATTTTGTTTCACCTTTCACAAAATGTTGAGATGTGTCTTCTGCAAGCAGTACGCATTGTTTAGGAATTTGTGATGATGTTTCAGGGTCTAGCATTTCCTATTTTAAATATACTTGGAAGAAACGTTCATGAGTTTGTGAAATTGGTATTATGTTAGTTTGACATCGCATCACCTGCTGAAACTTGTCTGGTAGGTCTGAATGCTTATTGTTCGTTCTTCTGATTTTTCCAATTTGATGGCTATTATACCATCTATAGAACTGCATGTAGCACTACATCTTCAGGGACTTATGGTTATTTGGTGGTAAATATTTGCTCTAGGCACACTGCTCGATGGGGAACCAATCATTAACCTACCACCCAAAACGATAGAGTTGAAAAAAGTGGATTTTACAAAGGAGGAGAGGGACTTCTATTGCAGGCTAGAGGCTGATTCACGTGCACAGTTTGCAGTATGTTTTTTTTTCCGATTTAAAATAATCTCTATCATGATGTTGCGTTTACTTTTTTAATTTTTATTTGTGGCTCAACAGTTCTCTTCATTTTGACCTCTAGATTGGTACATTGTGTTAGGAATATGCAGCTGCTGGCACTGTCAAACAAAACTATGTCAATATTCTACTGATGCTTCTGCGTCTTCGACAAGCTTGTGATCACCCTCTTCTTGTTGGTGGGTGCAATTCCAACTCAGGGTGGAGATCTTCTGTTGAGGTGGCAAAGAAACTTACTCGGGAAAAACAAGTTTCTCTTTTGAATTGTTTGGAAGCGTCTTTGGCAATTTGCGGCATTTGCAATGTATGTTGTTATACATAAGTCTGATTTGGATGACATTTGGCTTGTGTCATACATGTTCTCACTTGGTTGTTTAAGATACTCTTTTAAATTTGCTTAGATGTGTGGCTGTCTTTTGGTGTTCATTTGTGTGTGCTTTTTCTTACATGCTCTTAGAGAATCTGGTTTTTTTTATTCTCCTTGGAGAAAAGGGAAAGTGGGGAGGTGTTAGGTGGGTTTAAATGTTTGAAGTATTCAAGCTCAGTGTAACAGACCATGGTTGGTTTTTGAACTTTTTTTTATTTTGTGGATTGTTTCTTCCGCATCTATATGACATTGTGACGATATTGTTTACATAGTTGTAGTTAAATACTATAAATTGTTGGAAATAGGGAAAGATAATACCATGCAGGGTCTTTTTAGTTTAATGTGTTCTGAAATTAAGTCTTTTGATCCCATTGGCTGTAGTGGTTCTGACTGTTGGTTTCATGACCAGCTGCTGATTAGAGTAGGTATTATGAGTAGAACATTTGAGATATGATCAGCCCATACCGTGCATGATTCTGTGCTTCCTGTGTGGACCCACTAGTAGGGATGTGCAACTATCCGAAAATCTGACACCGACACCGACAACGATACCGACTCCACCTCTGTCGGAGTGAAGTGCCAAATTCCGATCGGAGTTGGAGTAGGTGTACAAAACGTATTCCACAAAATATCCAACTCCGACTCTGACTTTTTTAAAATAATTTTATTATATATATATATTTTATTATTATTATTATATCAAAACCCTAATCGCTTATTGGACCACGCCTCCATTAGGCACCAGACCATGCCCTAGGCACCAGACCAGGCCTCCATCAGGCACCAGACCGCACCTCTCACACTCAACCACGCACTCTCAACACTCTTTCTCGCTCTCATCTTTGTTGTCTAGAGTCAGTGGAGCTGCAGTCGGTGGAGTTTGAGGTCGTCGACAATGAACCGTGAACAGATGAGTCAGTGGAGCTTTCTTATAAGCCTCTTATCTATCTTTCTCTCGTGCTCTCACAGTCTCACACTCTCTCTCTCTTTCTCTCACCCTTTCTCGTTAATCACTCTCTTTCGTTCTTTTCTTTTGTTAGCCGAAAATGGAACCCTAAATCCCCAAATTTAAGAGTATATTTTAGAGACCTAGTATATTTTTGACCCTAAATCCCCAAATTTGAGAGATTATTTTTGACCCTAAGTTCCCAAATTTGAGAGATTATTTTTGGCTGAAATTTAAAAAAAAAAAAAAAAACAACTAGCCCAGTAAAAATTTGCCCAATTTTGTCCCAAATCCAAAACTCCGGTCCGACTCCGTCAATCAGAATCGGAGCGGAGGTGGAGTCGAAGACATTATACATCGGAGTCGGAGGCATTATACATCAGAGTTGGAGGAAAAAAATCATTCCAACAAGAGTCGGAGTTCATGGTTCTGACTCCGTTGGAATCGGTGCCTATCCCTACCACCAGTTATCTACGATGTAGGGATTTGCATCACCAGTATTTAGTAGAAAGTTGTTAAGAGACTGGTTTTTTTAGTTTAGAGATATGTAAAATGTTGATGCTGAAACTTGTTTGGTTTTTCGTTTATTTTTTTGGAAAGATCCGGGGGGGGGGGGAGGGGGTGTTTGGCTTTTTATAAGGGATGAAAAATGATAAAAGTAGCAATTGAAGCAAGAAGTTAGAATATCTAAGACCACATGATAAAATCCTGGATTATGACGTGCTAAGTGTTCGTGCGAGAAAAATAATATTATTTTTAAGGTAGCCTGTGAAATGAAAAAGATTTCCATGAGTTAATGGAGATGCCCACTAGTTGTTAGTTGAACATTTTTTTTCTTGTCTGTTGTCTTGTGTGTTTCTTTTGTTTGCATTCAGCCATTGCTTTTTCCTTTGCGTTGTTAAGCAGGATTTTTACAATGCTGGTGTATCAATGCGGATATGAATAATAACTAGGTGGTGGGGCATGCCTCTTCCAAACAGGAATGGTGCTTCTTTAAGATATACCACCAGAAGCATGCTGGTCCTGATATTGACTTGTATCAATGCCTAATTAGCTGCTGTATCAGTTATTGCAGGCTGAGAAAAGCATGGATGAGTGGAAGTTTTGGTGCCTTTCTCCACCGAAACTTTTAGTTAGATAAGTTTTTATTTCTTCTCGTTGGGAGTATTGCATATTTGCATGTCTCTCACGGAAAAGCAAGCCTACTTCTTAGAATAGGACGGGCTTGTTGCTTTGAGTTGTTCTCGGGGGAGGCGACTCTTGTTCTTTCCTAGGATACATCCGAAGAGAAATTAGCATTAAGGAAACAATAATCCATTTTAGATGAAAACTCAGAATAGTGGCTTGATCAGTATTCATGTTTCATGGTGGAAGATGACTATAGAAGTTGCATCTTTCGAAGGCTATTGTTTTAATGTTTCTATATGGGAGTGATGTTTGAGAGAATCTTGCATTTTGTCTGTAACGATAAATACTTTTTAAGTGTTACTGACTTTGAAATTACAAACTTCTCTGTTATTGCGAAGGAACATATTGGTATTAGGTTTACTCATTATCCTAAAGAAGTTTGGAGTACTGCGGTTTTTGTTTTTTGACATGTATCTGTTCAATGTCTTGTAGGATCCACCTGAAGATGCTGTTGTAACAAGCTGTGGGCATGTCTTTTGCAATCAGTGCATATCTGAACATCTAACAGGTGATGACCACCAGTGCCCCACTAGAAACTGCAAAGCTCAACTCAGTGTATCTTTGGTATTTTCTCGAGCCTCGCTGAGAAGTTCTCTATCTGAAAATACTGCCAACAGTTGTGGTTCTGAACTAGCCGAGACACCTGAGCCTAGTGCTTTGGGTTGCTTACTTGATTCATCCAAAATTAAAGCTGCTCTCGAGGTATTGCAGTCTTTGTCTAAACCACTGGCTTGTGCATCAAGAACAAGTTCTTCGACGTCTATTGATGAAGGTGCCACTTTGGAAATTTCATCTGATCCTCTTTCGGTGGGATTACAAAGGGATATGCCTGATAACAGAAGTTTGGATTTCGATGGATCTTCAAACGATATGGTTCCAATGATGGGAGAGAAAGCAATTGTGTTCTCTCAGTGGACAAGGATGCTTGATTTGCTTGAAGCATGTCTTAAAAATTCTTCCATAAAGTACAGAAGGCTTGATGGAACAATGTCTGTTGTTGCCAGAGATAAAGCTGTGAAAGATTTCAACACGCTCCCAGAGGTTTGTGGGGTTATTTGCATCTCTTGAGAATGTATTTCAGTATCTGTTTCTTCTATTATTCTGATTTTGAAAGTTTGTTGTAGGTATCTGTTATGATTATGTCTTTGAAAGCGGCAAGCCTTGGATTGAACATGGTTGCAGCTTGTCATGTCCTCCTCCTGGACCTCTGGTGGAACCCTACAACTGAAGATCAAGCAATTGACAGAGCACATCGGATTGGTCAAACACGTCCCGTTACAGTTTTGCGGTTGACAGTGAAAGATACAGTTGAAGATCGTATTTTGGCTCTTCAGGTAGTAGTTTGTGTTTTAATTTGGAACCTTTTCCTTTTCATATGTTATCGTTGAATTTACTAATTTTCATCATTCACTATGTAGTACAGAGTGACAGACATGCTTACTGTATGCCACATTGTATATGTTGCATTAATGTCCTTTTTCTTTTCTTTTTCCTGTGTTTGTTTTGATTAGAAAATATCTGCAATTCATTGTTAATGGAAGAAAATATGAAACAGTTTGATTGAGGATTTGTGTCCCTGTGTTATCACTTGTTTATGTACTTATTTCTTGCTTGAACATGATGAAATGCCGAACTGGGTCAGGTAGTGGCACCCTCAAGTATGTTATTCTGTTTCGACACAAATTTTATGACCATAATTCGAGTATTATATACCTCTGACACAAGACATCCTTGCTATTTAATAAAAGTTCTTAATGTAGGTTTGTCAATCCAAAAGAGACGCTGAAATGCTAACATGAAATGTTTTGTTTTTTTCACAGCAAAAGAAGAGAGAGATGGTTGCATCTGCATTTGGAGAAGATGAGACGGGCAGTCGTCAGACTCGCCTTACTGTGGAGGACTTAAAATACCTTTTTATGGCTTAGTTTGGGTTTCTTTTATGGTTCGACTAAAGTTTCTGAAACCTAGTGGGCCTTGGATGCTCTTTGTCGGATTCGTCGTGACCACCAGCACCAGCAGTATGATCAATTCATCATTTTAACAGTTGAAGCTTTGTCTGAGAGTAGATGGTTAGGAGTAACAGGAAAAGAGGATCTCTCAATTTACAGGATGATCATGAGTTTTTTTCTTCAAAAAGAATCCAAACACAATCCATTTTTTTGACAATTGATTACTCTTTGTATAGGAATCTGGGGAAGTTTAGTTGCTTACAGAAAAGGGTAGATAGGAAGTCCATGGATATTCTTTAATTTGGAGTGTAAATGATAGAGTTCTTCTTCTATTTTGGCTCTGTTTTTTCTTCATTGTAATTTTTATCCCCTTCGTGGGCAGCTACTTTAAACGCTACTTTGATTGGTTAATATGATTATGTTTTTGTGTAATGATAGCATTCAAAATTAAGGGTAAGTAATCGATTATTTCTGTGGTTTTAATGCAGTAGTATGGTTACCTTGACGAATTTAAAATCTGATCAACCTTGTGGGTTTTTTGTATTAAAGACGAGCTGTAAATTTGTCTTGTTATGTAAATTGATTTAAACAGTCTTCGTCGTTTGAAAATACCAGACTAGTCCTAACCACTAGTCTTCCATGAATAGTATAAGATGTTGAATTCAATACCAATATTATTTACCATAATTTCGGGCAAACAATGCAACTTGGGTTTCTTCGTCAAAAGAGCTGTAATACTATACTCTCCAGTGAATGAGACAAGAAATCAACCACATGTAACAGACTTGGTTCATTATTTTCTCAGCATCTCTTATTCAACGAAATGCAATACATCACGGCGAATAGTTTCCATATTCTCAACAGATTATCGAACTGCAAAGAATGCATCATCTCTTTATACAACAAAATTTGCAAGAAATGTGAGAATTTCAGGAATTGGTCATCTGGGTCTGAATTTATCTGAGATTTTACACATGGGTCCGATCAAAATTGCAACATTGAACAATATAGGGATATTGAAATGGATCACTTGGCAAATTGCACCACCCAGTGACTCGCCGGAAAAGAATTTAGGGAGGTTTTGGAATTGAGGATCTTGGGTATGAGTTGAATTGGAGAATGAAAGACAATCTTCAACAAGAAGGTCAATATTGGGAACATAGGCCTAGAAAACTTGGGATTGGTCATGTTGAGCTAGGAAAATTGGGGTGGCCTGAAAAGTCCAACTGAGGTCGGTGCCATAGCCGTGCACCATAAAGATGAGGCGACGTGGAAGGGTGGTGAGGGGTTGCCATTATGTGGTGAAGATGGATAGACCTCTGGGTGAGGTGTAGAAAGGCCAGTTAAATTCTCCCTAATACATTTTTTCTTATAATCTTTGTAAACTCAAGTGAGGCACAATATATATAAATATAAATAGGTCTGATACGCATTAATGATGAATGATTTATGAAGAGAAATAAAAGAAAAATGTTTTGGACGGAATATGTCCATAAAGACTTGATGCATTTGATGTTTTGTCAGTTGAAGTAGTCCTTCTCCGGTGTGGTTCCCCTGTTATAGAACTGGGTTTTGAGGTGTTGGTTTTGTTCTTCCTCCATTCTTCGAGAGGGATTTAGTGTGGTTTGGAAAAGGGTTCAGTTAGTGGTGTTGGTTTCTGGTTATTCAGTAGTGAATTTTTCTAAACAGAGTTTGGGGGCTCTTGATTTCATTTGGAATCAGTTGTGGGTCAGTGACTCAGTGGGTAATGAGGTGCTTTTGGTCTCTGGGCTTTTAAGGTTGACTAGAAAATCAACAAGATTTGTGCTACAAGCTGCTTTTTGAATGGCCCCTGGATGGTGTCCTCTGCCAAGTCCCTTATTAACCTTCTTTGGACACTGGACTTGGCAATGGAAGGTAGTCTTTTTTTGCTTGATGGCTAGTTTATGGCAGTTTTTTCCCATTAATTGAATATTGTTCTGAAAGTTAATCTTTGGAATAGGGCTTTATCATTATGAACTAGTTGGTCATTTGAAGGGACAGATTCTAGGTTTGGGTATAATCTGAATCAATATTTTCTCATTAAGTATGATTATGTCAATATATATGTAGTTTCAGACTTTCAGCACTCTGTTAAATGACGCCACCAGTGCTGTGTCAGTCCGCATATTGCCAGAAATAATAATAGGAATGTCGTATCAGACTATGGTACCTTCAAAAAATAATCTCCGAAGCATCACAAAATTGATTAGGAGGTATAGATATTGGTTTGATGCGATTTTAGCCGTTGATTGTGAAAAATGATGAAGTAAAGTAAGAAATTTTGACACATGTTACGTTTAATTTTCAGTACTAGTTGGACCCCATGCAATGTCTACAGACTCCTGGTATTTCTGCTACCACTATTATCATCATTCCTGCATTGTTTACATTTATTGGAGTATCTTGCAGTGATATCATTTTCCCTTATCCTTATACCTCTTTCAAAACCTGTATTTCTTAAGTGATGGCCCTGTGTATCAGTAAATTAGAATTTTTTAAAACAGTTTTGGATGATTTGATTTGACATCTTTTTCTCTGTATCACACAGTGAGCAATACCTTAGAAGATTACCATGCTAATTATTGGATAAAATAGTAAACCTCCCTCTTCAAGCTCTAAAGAAAAAGACAAATTCCTTTTTTTTTTTTTTGAGTAGAATGGAAAAGAAAAAAAAGAAAAAGGGAACCCTTTTTCCTGATGAGAAAGTAAGAAAAGGAATAAAGTGAAAATCCCTTCTAGAAAAAGAACAAAAAAAGGGGAATGTTGGTTTATTTGGGGGAAGTAGTAGAACCGAGTAAAGGAGGCATTGGACTCACCCTAATACCTACCCATTAGCAAGGATTCAAGTAGAGGATGTTACCTCCCTGTCCTCAAAAGTTCAACCAAGAAGTATTTATTTAATTATTGTAACAGCATGCTTATCAGGAATTGAGGGTTGGTAGATCAATATAATATGGGAGAATTTTAAGCAATGTTGGGTAGGTCATATGAGATTACATGGACTCCATGGTGTTTTGCTTAGTGGGAGTTAGTGCTGGTCTGATTTTATCTTACTGGTTGCTAGGTGGATTTACATTGGTTTTGCCAACGGGGAAGTGGTCAATATAGATGGCCAGCACTTTTTCTTGGGAATCTATAGTTAAAAACCATAGCAAATACAATTGGCAGATGGTATAAGAAAAACATTAGGGCAGAGCATGCATTGCCATACTATCCCTTTTATGTGGACAGAGTCTTGGAAAAGGTGGCCAAATCAAATGAGAAATTAGGATAGCCTGTATTTGACATGGTTCATTTTCAAAAAGGGTACTAGAGCACCAGAAGCGTTAAGAGTAAGTTGAATCCAATTAGTTGCATATGCGACTTGGCTGATTTGGAAACAACCTTCTTTGTTACCAAGACATTAAGGACACCTTTGATTTATTATTGCTGAGTCACCTATGGGATGTGCTTGTAACTTTAGCCGTTTTAAACGAATCGATCTTCCATGTTACTGTGACCTTGACAGAAACCTAAATGTCGAAAACTTGAGGATTCTATAGGCTTGCAAAGTATTTAGATTTTGATAATAGGACAGTTCCTTTTTTTTTTATTTGTTGCTAGTGAAGACAGAACAGTACTCCACATTACACCCAGTCTCCCTCTGAAGTCCTCAAGTCATCATGAGTTTGATAACTATCATCGTTGAGCCTACTCCAATAGCATCATACCTACCATAAAAAGGAACAGTGATGTAAAGTCTTGTGCTCTTTATCTTAACTTTTAGGGTCATACTTTGATAATTGAACGCTTGGAAATTAAGAAGAATGACAATCCAATTTCTTATCCATGCAAAACTTGGAGCAAAGTTGGTCACACTATATGCTAAAGAGTTTTCTCAACTTTCAGAATAGTCACATAACTACTCCATTAGGAGCACTGGTACCACTCATCCAAAGTAGCCCTGAAAAGCACTACATGTAGACAAGGGATTGGAGGTTAGATCATTGACTTGAGCACTTCTTATCGTTCATATATCTTAATAACCTTTTGAGGAAGCACTTTGTTTACGTTTGACCAGACAAGCTGTCACTTAACCAGAGACCAAACACACTCTCTCCTCATCTAGGTATTATGGATGCGGTACTAGTTAGAGTTGATGATCTTATCTTCATCCCAACTTTTTTGGTGCCGAAAGGACCCCCCTCTCACTCTCTCTCCTCCCCCCCCGGCAAAAAAAAAATAAAAGAAAAAGAAAAATCAAATGCATTGTGTGGTATTTGGAAATCATTGAAGACAAGGAAACCAAATGCCTAAAATGGGGAACCCATCTCTAACCATTTTCTTTTCTTTTAGGGATCCCAACAAAGCTTTATCTTGTTTTTCAATAAGAGTGGAGAATTTAATCATCTGGAGTTTGAATGCACAATGTTGCATCTAGCCATCTCTACATGAAAGCAAATTCAACTTTTTCAGCCCTCGAAAGAAAATTTCATTAGACTCCCAAGCTGAGCTTTGTTGTTTAACCCCACAAATAAGAAATTATGATCATCAACACATGAATATGTAAGGGGAATCAGATTACACTTGTGACAGAATTTCATTCTTAGAGTCTTTCATTACTTTTAGAAAACCTGTTTTTGTTAAGGATATCGATTGAAATGGTCTTGACGTGCCTGACATGTCTGCATAAGTTTGGTCAATCAGGGATCGAGATGATAAAGTGGGGGTTCCTGCATAAGCATGAGCATGAAACGATTATCTAATCAATGTTGTGATTGAAGGAACATGACTAATTGTAAGGATTTACTCAAAGGTGTAGGAGATGCAAGTTTTACATCAAGTATAGGTTCTATGAGCGTCAGTCCTATATACATATCTACATTTTGTTTGTTGACGCTCTTTGAAGGAAGCTCGTTGCCATGGTCAACGTTACCAGAAACTCGCCCATTGCTGCCTTTTTTTTTTTTTTTTGCGTAGTTGACCAGTGAAGGGATAAATCATAGATGGCTTATCAATTCTAGAAGTTGCCTATTTGATGTGTCATCTCCTAACTTCGGAAAGTGTGGAATTTGTCTACACAACTGTGCTCTTTGCTAGCAAAATTTGTCCATATAATATGAAATATTATTAAGGAATAATTGTCCATAACTTCTAATAAGATAGGTTTCTAATTTACCATTTATGAATACATTTGACAGGGGGATCATTTTGACTTTGAGTTGCTTGGAGTTTGCGACTAGAAGATGTGAAAGAACAATTACAGTTAAAGTAAAAGATCGCTCCTGAAAAAATATAATCTTGTTGGAGGTATTATGATATTGGGATTTACTACGCATAGTAGACGTGCATTGCTTTATGTTTTATACCAGGGGGGTGTCATAGATGAACCTCTTTTTGTCTTTGGCAGCCGAAATCATAGGAAATAAGTTTTTGCTTTGGAAGATGAATTTATATAATGGTTTTTCAACATTTTCTCAACTGTGAATATACATGATTGCTCTTGCCTAACACTTGGTGTAATAAGGGTGGTATAACATAACACCTCTAGGGGGTAGGTGTCAGATCCTTCACTGATGTATCTACATAGGTTAAAGCATCATAACTTGATTCCATAACCGGAAGTTCTGCGATGTATTAGCAGTTGCATTATTATGTCTCTATGTGTAGAGATCCTTTTATTTAGTTCAACTAAACTTCTGTGGAAGTAATTCCTGTTTCATTTCATTCCAAGTCTCTAGCATCTGATGTTTGTACGAAAAATCTAATGTGTGAAACCTTTAGTGGAAGCCAGATGGTTCAATTAACAGTTAGATAGTTTTTGATTATCATTCATTTGACATTATCATCCCTTATAAGGAACTAAGGATGATGATGGTCCTGTTACTCTTGATAGGATGTCATAAATATAATAACTCAATTAAGTGGAGGGCCATCAAAATATGATTGCTGGTCTAGGTGATGAATCTACTAGTGGTGTTTCCTTCAGAGCAACTGCCTCAAAAGTAAATATGAGTAACAAGGTCATGCAGTACACGTGGGCATTCACTGCATGTCATTATACACACTAATTAGAAATTAATAACTTTGATAACCAAAATCCCAATAAGCCTTGCACAGGTTTGCACTTTTTCTTTCTTTAAACTGTCTGAATCTGAGTGGCTGTGAATTAGCATAAAACGGTATGGCGTCATACACTAGGCCTGGGCAGGAGGCATATGTGGGAGACCCCAGGATGGGGACCATATTATGATGACAAAAGAATTATGCTTATGCAAGTTCAATGCTTTCATAAATAATCCTAGCTTTTGACTGGAATATTTTCTGCATATGTGGTGGAGGAAGAAATGCTGCCATCTTTACATAATGTATGTTAAACATCTTGGATATTCTGAACACAGTAAGGATTACTAACCATGCCTAGTGTAACCAATCAACATGACTGTGAACTACATAAATTGAGGATATACTTGAACTGTTGCAAACTATTGTTAGAAACAAAAATCATCTCCACAAAATCTTATGCTATAATTGTTCATCCATTTCCTAATGGATTCCTCTCTAAGTTTTGAAGAGAACTTTTCACAGCATACGATAGCAAAAAGCTATGTGAAAACTTGTCCTAATTAGCCTCTCTAAGTTATGCTATTACTTGGTGGATGTATGATGATAAACTACAATAGCAAAAAGCTAAGTGAAAACCCTTCAAAAACAACAGAATCTACAGAGATAATCAGAAGTCATGATGAACAAATCGGATTAGCATATATCCTGAATGGGCAATTGCCAAAAGACTCAATAATATAATTATCAAATAATAAAAAGATGATTTCCATCTCATTATTCAACTACATGGTGGAATCCAAGTCATGTTTCAACCAACAACATGGTTGCTATCATCCTTTCTTTTCATCATATTGACTCCAAATCTAAGAGTCACAAACCACAAGGTTCGCCACAAAAATCCTCCGTTCTTCTCTATGATGATGAGATTCGGAAAAACAGTCTACCCATTTTTTGTTCTTGTCAATGGCTCCACCAATTTGGAATATATACCACAATGTCTTTTCATTTGAAACTAAATGTAAAGTGACTAGCAGGAACATGGTCAATATAAGCAACATATAGCCACATGCAGCGAAATGGTTATTTAGTTTTCCTTTCTGTATATTCATCTCTTGTCATCGACTCTATCAAAGTAGATTTGATGAAAGTGATTGTTAAACAACCATCTTCGGCAAAAGTTCAAGTTGTTGGAGATGATATAATTTAAATATTTATATTTCAACATGCTCCTTCACGTGTAAATTACATTTTAGGCTAACATGTGAAAATCTTTAAAAAATTAGGATGACGACAAGATTCGGACTCAACACCTCTAACTTTAATATCATATTAAAAAATTATTTACTATAAAAACTCAAGTTGTTAGCGAGAATATAATTTAAGTATTTATACTTCAACAGTAATAAATCAATAGCGAGGTTATAACCCCACAATAGATTGGTAGTATGGGATTTACTGACATCTACAATAGATTGGTAGTATCCGTTTCGCATGACTGTGATCCAACAACCCATTCAAAAATTGGTGGCTCCACTCGCCCATGCTCATGCAAAACTCATGGAGCCTGCCTATAATCTACGTCAGATGCCATACAGTTGCCGACCTAATAAAGAAGACATTTGACAATTGACGATTAGGACACTTTACTATTATCTACATGAGAATCACCTCTTGATCATGGATTAGTGGATTTTAAATAGCCCCAACAAGTATATATATACAGGTGGGTCTTTGTGTGTTTCATCCTTTAGTGCAAAAGCTGTCTGCAGGTTGGTGTTTTTGTTCCCTAATGGATAGTATATTAAAGATGATGCTTCCCCTCTTCCTAGCTCTAAATATCTTATCATCGACGGAGCCTGTTCTGGGTGCTAGACACGGACAAATGCCTCGTGAGAAAAAGTTGAACTCAGGTGGAACTGAGGATCTTGTGACGAACTTGCCTGGCCAGCCCAAAGTAGATTTCCGGCACTATGCTGGGTACATTAAAGTGAATGAAAAGAATGGAAGAGCCCTGTTCTATTGGTTTTATGAGTCTTTGACTCTTCCTGGGGAGAAACCTCTGGTGCTGTGGCTTAATGGAGGGAGGTATAAATTTTGTTTCTTTAGAAGTATATAAGAATAATGTGTAACATTTCTGGTACAACATTTTTGTTTGTTTTAGCCATGGGATAGAATGACAATAAGCACATAAATCTTACACAAATGCTTGATGGTGGCCTGACCCTTAGAAATGCCAGCTAAATTTCTCTTCTGGTTTGAACCTTCCCTGCATAATCCTTGAATTTTGGCGGCCTCTAGAAAAAACTGGGAGATGTTGGTTAGAAGGTTGACTGATTTTAACATTAAGTATTGAACAATAATGTAGGATTATAAGACCTACCAGATTTATTGGGATAAAGTTTGGTCAGTTTTACGTCATTTTCATGGTAATCTGGACTCCAATAAAATGTTTTGACCAAATCTATATTACCTATATATATGTGATGGTGCGTGTGTGTGTGTGTGAGAGAGAGAGAGAGAGAGAGAGAGAGAGATTATTTCCTTACTAGCTGATGCTGCGTTGTCTTTGGACAGTCCCACACAGCAAACAAAATATTTTCTTACTCTTTCATTTCTTGTCACTTAGTGGACATCATTCTTTCTTTATATTTCCAACTCAACCTAAGAATCTTCTACAAACTCTACTGTGCTTTGATTCACTGTTCTCCAGTAACTGTAAAAAAAACTTTATGAAGGTCCTGGTTGTTCTTCTGTGGGATATGGAGCAACACAAGAGATTGGTCCATTCATTGTGGACACAGATGGACATGACCTTAGGATGAATCCTTATGCATGGACTACAGGTATGAGTTTTACCATATTAGGGACATCATGCATCGAGATCTGCTAGAAAGAATATCACTACAATATAAACCCACATGTACACAAGGATCAAAATTGCATTTCGAAAGAAATTCCCATGGTTGGAGGTGGTTCGAGATGTTTCAAACCGAAATAATGCGTTGTGCATTTACACATATGCCAATTGCTTTGTTAAATTAAGGGACTTCTGTATTAGTCAGTGCTCCTTACACTACCACTATATCAATTCAAAATTCATCATGTACACTGGTGCAGAAGCCAATATGTTATTCCTGGAATCTCCGGTTGGTGTCGGTTTTTCCTACTCAAACACAACCAGCGATTATGATAATCTTGGAGATGACTTCACAGGTGCATTATTTGTAAACTTTTGATGCTAATGCTAATAGTCTTACTTGTATCCCATTGTCTAACTGTTCTCTACTGATTCATGTCCTGTGGACCACTACGCCAGCTAATGATGCTTATACCTTCCTGCATAAATGGTTCGTCAAGTTCCCATCATACAAGACGCGGCTTTTTATATTGCTGGAGAGAGCTATGCAGGTAACAGACCTTAGCCACCTTGGCTTCGTCTATTTTAATTGAATTTCTTATAGAAGTTCAAAGTTTAATCAGACATGTTTTAACAGGAAAATATGTTCCCGAGCTGGCTGAGATTATCCATGATAAGAACACGGATCGTTCTTTATTTATTGATCTGAGAGGCATATTGGTATGGTCCTTCCCAACTGATGAACAACCAATTATGGGCTTTAGTCTAATCATTCCAGTATTTTGTCTTAGGAAGCGAAGTAGTTTAATCTTTTAGATGATTAGTTTTAAACTTGCCTGCATAAAGTTTTGTAAAGAGCTGAATATTGTGCGCTTTTTTTCCGCCGTCTCTTTTTACAACAGTGCAATTCTATTGCAACAAGGGTATTCAAGTTGTTATCTTTGTCTAAGTGCAGCTGGGCAATCCTGAAACATGTGATGCTGAGGACTGGAAAGGTCTGGTGGATTATGCTTGGAGCCATGCTGTTGTATCAGATGAAACACACAAAACTATCAGAGAATCCTGTGATTTCGACAGCAACAGTACATGGAGCAATGAAAACTGTAGTCAAGCAGTCGATGAAGTACTGAATCAGTATAGAGAGATAGATATCTACAGCCTCTATACCTCAGTATGTATTGGCAATTCAACAAGTTCAGAAGACAAATCATTGCAAGTCGTGTTCAAGAGTACCTCTAAGATGGTATGTGACGATTCATATGCTGAATGAATTGTTTTGTTTCAGGAGTGTCGTGGTTCAGCGCATTAAAGGGTGACATATATGGGGGAGTAAATCCTCTCAAATTTTATCTTGTAAAGTAATCATGCATTGCCATTCACTATCATCCCTAAAGGGCTAATCGCAATAAGAGCCTTGAGCTCTGTGAATTGGCTTGGCTTGGTTAAGTCTAACTAAGAGTTCCAAATCATCCAAGGGAAACATCCCGATAATCAACAATTTGGTGAAGCACCTTTAGTTTAGCCTATATATTAAGCTAAAATAACATGAAAGTAATCGATTTTGTTAACCAGATACCAAGAATTATGGGTGGATATGACCCGTGCCTTGATGACTATGCGAAGACTTACTACAACAGGCCTGATGTTCAGAAGGCCCTTCATGTTAGTGATGGTAACCGCATCAGAAACTGGAACATTTGCAAGTAATGCATTCTATTTCCTTACTTTATGATGGCTGCCGTATTACATTTGACTACGTCTCCAATGGTAGTGATAAACAAGGAAGTATTGTAATGAAACTAAGATATGGTATCCATGATACTAACTAAACCATATTTCATGCAGTATGGACATATTTAAAGGCTGGAAAGATTCAAAGGAATCTGTTCTTCCCATATACAATAAACTTATCGATGGAGGACTTAGAATATGGGTTTACAGGTACATGTTTCCTAACTACAGCAGTTTATGCAAGTGGCCGTGAAATGTTGTGCTCATATTCGTAACATTCTTTTTGGTGGCTCAGTGGAGACACCGATGGAAGAGTCCCTGTCTTGTCCACAAGATATAGTTTAAGCACTCTGGGACTGCCCATCACCAGGGCATGGAGGCCATGGTACCACCAGAAGCAGGTAAAATTAATATGCCATTGTCTAACCTACAACATAGTATAGAGAATTAAGATTATGATATTTGAAACTTTTAGAACTATTATTAAACACTATTTCTCTTTATCACTGATGGAATTCTGATGATTAATTAAATTTTTTAAATTGGGTTGGCTGTTTATGTCAGTACTTGAACTTCATATATATAGCCGTACCAAGGACTTAAATAGTAGTTTAATTAGCGTTAAGGAAGCAAAGATGGTCATCTCAACGTTTTTAACAAATGTTATGTGACACTCATGATGTGTATGTGTGTGTAATGCCAGAAAAACAAGAATGTAGACTTTGGTAACCGACATATTGCTTTATTTGACTTAGGTTGGTGGTTGGCTTCAAGAGTATGAGGGGCTTACTTTTGCAACATTCAGAGGAGCTGGTCATGCAGTGCCCATTTTCAAACCAGGAGAGTCACTGGCATTCTTCTCGTCCTTTCTTCGTGGGGAATCTCCACCATTCCAACGATAAATCTTACAATGGGTTGTCTCGGTACCTATCCAAAAGATTTTGCTCTTAATTACTAGGCTTGATGTAGTGTGTTTAATGTAGCAAAGAAGAAGTGACGAGTGTTTTGGCCTATGCACTGATTATAGGAATATCTCCCCCCTTCCATTTGCTTGTTTGGTTGCCAAGAAATGAGAGAGAATAAATTCACATTCGTTACGCCAATGTATGTGTCTGTGTGTTTGTGTTCCTTTGCATATTTATGTAAAAGGAAAAAAAATGTTTCATGGGAAATATCCAACATGTTTCTCAGATTCAACGGAATGTGACCTAGCTGCCATGGGAGTCTGTATTGTATTAGACTTATGCTGACTATGCCCTTGAACTCTAAGCGGGTCATCGGTGGAATTGGTACTTGGCTCTGGGAAGTTTGTGAAAAAGAGATCAGAAAATTGAATCAGCCACAACCAATTTCAAATTGAGAGGGAATTTCCAGATCATAAGAGACTTGTCATTTAGTCAATAAATATTCTTTGCTATTTTGGTAAACCAAGTAAAAGTATTCAAGATTATGAAATGTGCGAGTTCCATTGCTACCCCGGGATATAGATAGCGTGACTAAATGGATCGGAATAACATAGAAACCCTAGACTTATTGATTATTCAGATAATACCATGCTCAAAGTTGTTACAATACTTTTTTTTTGATTCCTTGAATACCAAATCAATTAGAAAAAGCTAAACCGATTTCTATGAAATATAATTATCAAATTGTATAATTCAAGGTTAAGCAAGATTTTGTTATCATTAAAATCTTGTTTAACTAAGCATCGGATCAACACGATCAGTATCGTTTCTAATGATCTGAGCATGTCATGTAATCTTCTAGTATATATTCCGCGTGATGCTGTCCTCAGTGGCATGGTGCTTGGAGGTTGAGAGTATATAATTTTGTGTTGATGGTGGTTTGAATTACTGTAACCGCTTTGATTGTTAAGTTGTTCTTTGTAAATTATTCTAAATGATTGGTTCTATTCTGGTATACATTCTGCATGATGCTGTCCTCTATCATGACCGTCGTGTGCATGTTGCTTTGTAACCATCTTCACATGCCATGTTTTTCAAAGAGTTCATAAGAAAATCATTCTCTATCTTGTGTTCTTTTATTTCCTTTTTAATGTACACATGGATTCTCTAGGAAACCATATTGGGGCATCCAACAATTTTCACCTAGTCGGATATGTAGGGTTAGTGTCCACTAACTTAACGAAAAAGGTTTGGGTCCACAATAATTGTTTCTAGAAGTAAAGGGCATAGGTTAAATAGAAGAGAGGCATTATGTTTGGTTAATGTATATGGGTGTGAGGATTGTTCACATTTGTTACTTGAAGTGTTGTTAAAAGCGCGCCTAGGCCCAAGGCGCAGGGCTTCAACTAGGTGAGATGAGTGTAGAAAAGCTCGGATTAAGCTCAAAAAGCGCTCACTTCAGGCTTGGGCTCAAGTCGCTTGAAGCCACACTTTTATCGGTTTTTAGTTTTTCATGTGATGAATTCTGATTAGAATACGTTTAGCATATACTACCACACTCATTTTTAACTCTTGAAATATAAATACTTAACCCTAACTAGCTAACCCTAACCTTTTTGTGTCTAACAGTAGGAGGAAGCAGATGTAGCAAACTCCGCAACTGTCAAAGACTATTTACATTTTCCAGTTTTGCTTCATGTGAATTTCTGTCATGCTAGTGTTGGTGCATCCCAAAACGTGTATGCATAGAAGAAGCCCTGCTTCTTGTATAGGAATATTATTAACATTGGAGTACATAGCTTGATTTGAAGGATGATTAACAAACTAATACGAATTTCGGTTCTTACTCTACTTGTATTGAAGATTTATTAAATTGTAATGCTATTGATAAGACCACAATACTAGTACACTGTTGCATAATATATAAAAAGTACATATCGTATCGTTCAAACAAAGCAAATACCAAATTTTGTAGGGATAATCACTCTCCCACGCATGTTTGCCGAAACAACATTGGTGAATTGTTTTCTGATAATACTCCTCCTGCCATGACATTTGAAGGTATGAGTAAAATGAGCACTGGTTATAATATTTTCCTTTTTGGGTCTGGAATGAACTACTTCTGGGAGCTTTATAGGCTTCACTGTTTGATATTCTAGAGGAATATAAATTGCTTTCTTTATGTCATGAACCAATTCTGTGTCGGAATCAAATAGGTTGGCTGAGTTGAAAAACATCTGAAATACTTTCAAACATGATAGATGAAGATGCTTGCATATTTTTGGCAGATCATTGAAACCATCCATCAACACATGCTCAAGAAACTCTTTCTTCTTCTCATCCAGTATCGCTTTGGTATAAGCAATTGAATCTTCCATGGTTGCCTCTGGATTTTCTTTCAAGTGGAGTAACACGAAGTTTGTTTTCCCGTCTTCTATTTCCTTCTGCGATTACAAAAGATTTAAGCTTTTTACTGGATAATATAATCAAAAATATATTCATAAGAAGAAACAGGGTCACTAGCGATGAGTAAAAAACTTTGTCGCTAAAAGTCAGTTTCTTTGCTAAAAATTATATTTTTTTTGCCAAATCCTTTTACTTTATAATAGAATCTCTTCATCAGACAAACAGAGTTACTAGCAAAAAGTCAATTCTGTAGCTAAAAAATTATGTTGTGTATCAATTTTAGCGACACGCTTCGTCACATAAGAGCTTAGCAGAAGGTTTCCTGTTTTGAAAATTTTTGGCAACAACACATTAAATTGTTTTGTCGCGAAAGGTTTCTTTTAGCAGCTGCTGATTTACCTTGTAGCTTTGAATGTCATTTAACAAACGAGCAATGGCCATGAGCAACATTGTGACAGTTTCATATTGGACTGGCTTGAGTTTGTCATCTGATAAGCTTGGGCTTAGGAAACACGAAGCTGGAAGGACAATAGTATGTGTAGCGATAGACGTCGTGCCAAACTCAAGGTATTCATCAATGGATGGTACATATCCGGTTTTGCTCCATTTTGATTCGACCAACCACGACACAAATGTTTCGTGCCACTTTCACACAACAATATATCGGATTTTCAAAAAATTATCATTTCACAATCCAGTAATAATGTGAAGAATGATACTACAAATCAATTGGAAACTAAAGATAAGACAGCTTACAATCTCTCGAAGATTTATCGTTATGTCGCTTCCTTGTCGATGGAGGTGTTCTGCTGCAATGTTACTCACAAGCTCATCAAGGGCATCAAAGATGATCTTGCTGTGGCCACTTAAACCTTTACCATCCCATCTGTTTTTTTTAATAATAGGTAAATAAATTTTATTTTGAAAACAAAAAAGACATTATGATAAATCCAAACACACCCAAGAAGAAAAGTACACTCCCAAATGTGCAAACCGAGCAAAATTGCAAAGAGTAATGCTCAATACACTTTCATCAACGGGAACTTCTACGTTACCGTCAACGGTAATAGTACTAAAAATTATAATTTTTTAAGGTTAACTTATAATTTGAAAAGACATGATCGATCATAGAATGTTGGAATCGATACCTTATTTTTTATGATCGATCAGGGGTGTTTGTGATTGATCATAACCTCCTTTAAGTACTTATAATTTCTTCTTTCAAAATTGTAATTTTACAATGCAAAGTAATAACAAATGATACCAACACCAAAAAAAAATTTCGGTACCGTAGAGTTTGCCTTCAACACATGAAAACAAGAGTTTAATAGGAACACAATAAAACCCAACCCATCCCATATGTTGAAAAGGGCAAATGACACATTGGTTTCCTCACATTGTCCCCTTAATTATCATGTTTCTCGTATTGTACTACCACCCATGTGTATTGGCTTCACATTTCCTCTTAAATATCAAGTGTTTTTTTTTAATCTTAAGAGATAGTTTAAATAATAACAGGAACGAGCTGTAAATTCAGACGTTTTGAGTTTAAATATTGTCAACCCCTTGGAACTATTCCATGAAAGATTTATTCCTTATGAATATCCTAATTCCAGCATAGATGATCTGCTTTTGATTGAATCGGGTGAGATATTCGTCGACGTGTACATAAGTTACTCCAGACACATTTGACAGTTAAACTAAAAAAAATATGATATTTTACATCCAAAACATGTTAGATGCTTGGTTTTTGGGCAAGGTGAAGTACTTGAAAGGGGAAGGAGAAATTCAATAGTTGAGGGAACACAATGAGACCGGGGCCATAATCGAGGGTGTACAAGTGTAATTAACCCTATCGAAAAAATGATCATAAAATTGACCTATAATGCCTAGAGTAGAACAAAAAATATATATAATAGTACCTTTGAATTGCACCTGTTAGGCATTTCAACTCATTAAGATCACCTTTCATATCAAAAAAATCATCAGCAACTGTAATAAGTATGGCAGTTTTTGCAACGATCAATCGAACAAGGGAGTCGTGAGGCAGAGAACTGCTAGCAGCAACAGCAAAGTAGCAATATGTTGTCTTCTCTCTCCCAAATCCCATGTCACTAAGGCCCCAGTCCTTAGACCACCTGTATATGCATTAGCCACCACAGAAAAAGGTTGAGCTACTGAAAACCAGTTTAACTATGGTTACCTCTAGCACAATTTATTGACCATTCAAAGGATTTCAGGCGCGAAAAGAACTCCAGTAACTAAGGGCGAAAGTTTGAAAGTTGAAACTTTGAATGGCAGGCTGGCCTGGGCTGGGCGGAGCGGATTCTTAGGCCGGATTTTAACAAGTTTATTGGGTAGGTTCATGGGCTAAGTTTTGAGCCGAATAATGGGTTTGAGAGTAAGTTCAAGTCTTTTTTAAAAGATATTGAATTCGAATTTAGGCTAAATGTGAATCTATCGGACTTAAGACTTATTTTTTTCAAATTGGATAATGGGACTTTGGGGCCAACCCAGCCCATAGACATTTCTATCTAGTACATATGGGTAAAACTATTAATCTTTTTAAAAACCTTACAACTAGGGCTGTCAATGGGCCGAGCCAAATTAGGCCCAAGAAATTTTTTGTGTCGGGCGAGGATAGGGTAGGCCCAATCCTTTACCGAGACAAGTTATCAGGCAGGTCATGCTGCCCAACACGTCACTCACTGAGCAAGTCTATTGGGTAGGCCTTTATATATATAATTTCATTTAAAATTTTTTTAATTTAATATTTTTAAATTAAAAATAAGGTAAAAAGTAGATAAAAAGTAAATAATAAATAATTTTATTTATGAATAGGGAGAGAATTGTATCACAATAAAATCAGCACATCCTAACTAGGTTTATATATTGTCACCAAACTTTCAAAGTTTTAATAATCAATTTTTTTTTAAACAATTGGGTGAAAGGACAGATGGTGGTGAGTTTCAAGCCTAAGCCCTCTTGCATGATATTAGGTTCGAGTTTGAACAAGTCAATTATCGGGTTTATCAGACTTTGGAACAGGACTCGTGAATCAACCCGACCCATGGACACTACTACTTGCAACCATTGATAGGCTCGTGCACGGGCTGTGTCATTTATACTTGAAAACATACTTACTGATATATCTACCATACCTTTTCAGTTCCTCCAATTCATTCCTGTATACTGATTGCCGAAGCTCGTAATTTTCCACAGCAAGTTGCATTAGCTTCTCATTATGCAGACATGAAAACCTGATAATTTTGAGTCACGGAATTCGATATCAGTGCTACATTGTTTAACAATTAATAAACGAGTAGGGTATATAGAAGTTGATGATAGAGTCTTGTACCTGTAGGAGGAGGCATTTCCAATCCATAAAGGACTGACTTTATTTTCTTCAATCCATAGTCTATGATCAAGATGATCCAGTCGAGCCATCCATGGTGGACTCAACTCACGCTTAATCTATACGCGCAGCCATATCAGTAGAGGTGACAATCTTAACCCATCTTAAATGGGTAATAAGATTCATTTTAATCAAATGAGTTAAGATGGATTACAAATAGTTACTCATTGGGTTGAGTGTTTATCTTTCTATGAAATAACAAAATTAATAAAATCAAATATACATATTAATATCCAAAAAAAACCAAAACACACATACACACATTAGTACACTAAACACAGACACTAATACACCCTACTCAACTCATGAACCATGACCCACGACCCACGAGCTTGATGTAATTAGTGTCTGTATTTTGGTGTATTAGAATGTGTTTCTATTAAGAGTTAATTTTAATTATTTTACGGATTGATGGGTTTAATCCAACCCATTATGATTCAACCTATTATAACTCGTTTATGAAGTGGGTTGAAAACAAATTGGATTTGTTTTGCACCAACCCATTTTGAACCAACTCATAACCAATTCAACCCGTCTATCCGTCACTTCTACATATCATTATGATTTATTAGTATGAAGTAAATAAATGCAGTGAAAAAAAATAATAATAAGTACATAAATGATAACTTCTTCAACCTTTGGAGAAACGAAAATAATTCCATTTTGTATCAATGATCAAACAAGTATATAAATTTAAGTAGGTTTTCCTCTTTGGATTTGGAATGAATCACTAATGAGGATAACATACTATAGGAATTGTGTCCTGCTATGTAAATAATGATACTAAAGGTCCTTGAAAAACAATCCAGTGATGATTTGGGAAACATTTTGATAACCGGTTAATCAGTTATTTTACTACTCAAAAAGATAAAAGCCTTATATTGCAACCTACGAGTTGACCACGGTATTGAACAAAAAAAAAATTAGTCCCATATCTCAATTCGTCATATTTGTGATTATTTTTACCACATTTATGAGTTATTTTATCACTGTTGTGGTGTCTTAAAAAATGATAAAAATAGTTACTACAATAGTCGTAAAATATGGCAAAATTTTATATAAACACCAACAAATATAGTAAAAATACTCATAAATGTGATAATTTTTTTTGTACTAAAGAAAAGTGGTAAAACTAGTTACCACAAATGTGATAAAAACATCCACAATAATGGTAAAAATATTACAAAAGTGATAAATTATCCATAAAAATTATAAATTTTTTTATTGTAAAATAACCCATATAAAAATTATAAAACCGCTACTAAAGTGACAAATAGTAAAAGTACAATACAAAAATTATTATTTCGGTACCCTAGTCAAGTACTAAAGCAATGTGTATAGATTAGATCGTGTTTGATTTTTGGATGATAAAGATGTCATAACATCACTTTTTTTGGATTAGATTATGGTACGATTTAAAAAAATTTAGTACCATACTTTTAAAATTTATTACATTAAAAGATATTTTTAAAACTTTTATAGGTCATTTTATAAATAAAATATTTATCATTTTTGTGTATAATTTATCACTTTTGTGATTGTTTTTATCGCTATTGTGGATATTTTTACCTTGTTGTAGGAATTATTTTTATCAATTTTCTTTTTATACAAAAAAAAATTACATTTATGAGTACTTTTATCATTTTTATGGATTTTTTTACCATTATTATGGTAATTTTTTATACTACTTTTCTTCTGTATAAAAAATAATTATTACATTTGTGAGTACTTTTATTATTTTAATAGATTTTTTTTATCACTGTTCTGATAACTATTTTTATCACTTTTTTAAGTACTATAAAAGTACCCACAATTATAATAAATTTGCTATGTTACCCACTTTTCCCATGAAATTGTTTACTAGTTTCGATTTTTCCCATAAAAATTAATCATTTGAAATTATGTGGTACGACACATGGGAATGTCAACTAATATAAAATTAGACCAAAATGACTAATTGGGGTCATATTGCACCAATTAATGAAATTCGTGGTATAGCATGAAATTTTCAAATTCGAAAGGGACAAAGTAGTAAGTATAAAAAGTTTCACAGGGCAATGTGAAATTTGCCCTCCATTTTTTTTTTCAACGGCCAGTGTGTTTGGATCAGTTTATGCGCACTTCGATTAACTTCTTTTTCAGTTCAATAAAAAGTAAACTATACACGTCGGGAATAAAGTATTTACAAGGAATAAATCCCTCGTGACTTAACTCTTAATAGTTACCAAAATTCAAATTTAGTACGTTCAAATTTAAAACTCGTTTCTATTATCATTTAATTTATCTTTCCAATTTTTACACCCTATTTGAAAGGGGATGGAAACATTACCAGCCTCTGAAAACTTGGGACCATGATACTATTGTCGTCATTAGTGTCCAATTCAATAGCTTTCTCAAGAAATGTCCTTGAAAGTGATCTTGCGTCCTCTACTTCATATTCCCCTTTGAACATAAGATCTGTTGCTCTGTAAACAGTATACATTGTACTTGTGAAACATTCGAGGTTTTGTTCTATTTTATTTACGATGTCTTCATGAAGAAGAAACCAACAGAAACTCCCTGCAAATGCAAAACATTTTCATTAAAATCATATATAAATGGAAGAACTATAGACAATAAGAGGTGTTAATCGAGACGAATTTTGCGAGTTTGAGTTCGAGTTTGTTGAACTCGTTTTTCTAAAAAAAGTCTAAAGAATTGTTTAAGCTCGACTTATTTAGAACTTGAGCTGAACCCGAGAAACTCGATTATTTTTCATACAAACGAGCCGCGGTTTGTGAGTTTGAATTGAGCCTTTAAAGCATATTTTTCTAAACGAACTTATAGAAATTATTCAAACTCAATTCATTTAAAATACGAATTAAGCTAGAGCTGAATTTTATCTGAACCGAGTCTGAGTAACTCACCTCGATTAATACTTCTAATTTGATATAATAGTTCATAACTTGGGTTGGTATCTTACATGGAGTTACATCATATCCATGCATTCGCAAAAGCCGAAATGCCAATGAATCTTTGAAGAGTTTTGCTGGTACAAAATCGAGATTTGTCGGTCGTGATTGTTGTTTCGTGTAGCTCCTGAGTTTTTGGGTCACAAACATGAAAAGGGTTATCAAAGTTGTATCATTTAATACAAAAATTAAGATCTTTTGAAACAAATTTTTTGCGACGATTGTGTTTATCGTCAAAAGAAAAAAATATATTTTGTAACGGTAAGACTGTCATAAAAAGTCAATTTGCTTCTACATATACTTTTTCAGACGATCCATTGCCGTCATAAAAATATTTTGAGACTTTACTTAATATGATGAGGCGTTGTGGCGTCATTGTCTTGCCATAACAAGTAGAGCCTCAAAAAATTTGTATGGTGACAACGACCCATGTCAAATAGTATTTGCAGTAACAAATAAACTTTTTATAACAGTAGTAATATCACAAAAAAACTTTTTTTTTCTTCAAAACACAATTTTTTATGACACTGAATATAGAGATCGCAAAAAATTTGTCTCAAAAGTCTCTAATTCTTATAATGAATATATTCAAATTATAGTAATGATGCTATTTTACCTGTGCACTTGTGAAAGAATTTCTTCAATTTCTTCACTGAAATACTCTTCCAACCCTAATCTTTGTATATGGTTTACTATGCAGAGCTTTATGAGCTCTTCATCTATGGGATACATAGATATGGGAACTGCACTCAAAAATGGAGTTCAGCCATTGTTCATACATATGCATAGGAAATTAAATGACATGTAACTCTAGGGTTTGTATCATACGCTTTCATAACCAAGTCCATATTGGGAGATAATTCTAAAAGGTTGTGACATAATGAAATCCGCATGCGGTCATAACTCGATCCACATTGAATTATGTATTATAAAATTTTCATAAAAACGTGCATTAAGATACGTAGGTTTTTAACTAACCCCCATTTGGACATCTTTGAACAAGATTTTGCAGGTGGTCCATGCACTTTTGGCTTCCTGTAACCATAAATTCACAGGCGATAGAGGCTGGAGATTGAAAAAACGAGCTTTCTCCATCGAAATGCCTAGCTATGGCTTGTTGATCAATATCATATGTTGATGGAAAGGCCTCAAGACATGACAATAGTGGTGGATAGTGTTGGCACTCTTGATCTAGCTCTTCCCTACAAATGTGTGCAGGTCAGCCTTCTTGTTCAATAACATTATAAGGTCAAGAAATAAAAAAAGGACTATTTGAATGTTTAGTGCATAAATATGAGAAGTAAATTACATTTCAAGAATTTGCTGCTTGTCCAAGAAAATATTGGACATAGCCCTTTTTAACTCGTCCCGAAAGTGAAACTCTAGACCTCTTGATTGTGCAAGTTCAACCATTGCAGTGAAAACAATGGTAAACTGGCGAGAAAGATGATGATTATTTGCTTGGAGAAGCACCTTTGTGTTTGCATCAAGAAATGCCAACCCTAAAATGTCAAAAAAAAAAGGAAAAGTTAGACAATAAACCAGGCAATATAAAGAGGAAAAAAAATATGTGGATCATTTGCACAGTTGAGTTGATTTCTAGTACACACGATGCATTGTATGAAACCCATAATGGAAGAAAGTAGGTACCCCACTACTTTTCTCATCCACTTCTCCCAAACAAAAAAAGACAGATTTACACGTGTTTTGGGCACGTGAGGGTCTGTGTTGAAGTTCGTAAATACTTATGCTACACACTTTTTAGCAGCTTAAATTTTTAGATGTTAGCTTAAATTTTTAGATGTTATGATGATTAACGTAGTATCATTGCAGGGGATACTATGCTCGATTTAAGTGGGGGACAAAGTCTTTCTAAAATTGGCTCCACATGTTTGGAAGAAGATAAACAGAGAGACAGTGCATCGAGGGCTCATTCCCAAGTATCATGGACCATTCGGAGTGATGAAATGAGTTGGAAAAATTGCCTTAGTACTAGAAGTTCCTGAATTCACTCAACATTTCATTTGAGTTTGATAAAGATTTTTTAAAAACTTACTTGATGCTCACCCAAATAATCATCAAGCTTGTACATACTAGGCTGAAAATCCGTCCCACAAAGTGAAGCAGACTATATATATATATATAGTTTTAGCGGACTTAAATGCACCTTTTTGTATGTTTTTGTCACCAACATTCCATGTTTTGAGAGCAATCATGCAAGCCATAGTTGCAGGAAGAGCATCAATGGTGGGAAGACCTTCTGCGTTCGACTCTCCCCAAAACCCTTCTCCATTTTGGTTGTTGAGTACCCAATTCAAGCAATTTTTGAACATAGGACGATCAAGCTGTTGGGGGTTTGGAATCATAGCCAACCATGCAGTATCATAAGCAGATAGAGAAACAAAGGAGTGAAGATCAAGGTTTGAGAACATCTCTTCCTTGATCTTCATCACTAGAGCTTTAATGGAGGCTTGTGAGGATTCCATGGAAAACAATACACAAGGAATGGAATTTAAGATGTATATCAGACCAGTTTTGGTATGAGACAAGTTTGGTGGGAGTGAGCATTTCCAAACTTGAAGCTATATTTATAGGAATGTTCTCAATAAATGGCCAAAATCTATCGTGTCATGGGTCCATGGGAATCTTCATTTTTACACAGTTGGAGCGGATAATGCTAGATTGACCAAAAAATAAAACGTAGTGTTGAAATGGTAATGAAGTTTAAATCTTAAATGAGTAAAAGTACATGCCACCCTTTTGGACCACTTTAGAACATACTGAATTTACGTCCTAACAGATATTTGTGAAGGTTAATTATAAATTGTACTCCAAAATATCTTTTGAATATTAATTTATATTTTTAAAGATAAAAAGTTTTAATTTACACCCTTAAAGATCAAAAATTTCAATTTATATCCTCAAAAAATAAAAATTTATATCAATGTATACCTAAAACTAACCGCCATCAGTTTGCTGCCTAAAATTAAATTGATAAATTATACCTAAATTCCCTCATGTTTGTCACTTAATCATTTGAACACCTTAATATTTAGAATATTACTCCTACATCTCATGACATTTGTGCACGTGTAACACTTAACCCATTTTCGTTGATATCTGTTAGAGTAATGTCAGATGCACTTAAAAACTAGATTTAAAAATTAGATTTGATAATTTCAACTATTGAATAGGTAATGAGTCTCAATAAATGCTGAGACCCACAATGAAATTAATGGTTGAGATTATCGAGTCTACTTTTTAAGTCTAATTTTTATGTCCATGTAACATTGCTCTATCTATTAATATAATCGTTAAAAATATGATTTTATGTTAATAAAAAATTATAATTTCATGCTACCATTTAATTTGTGAGTCCAATATACTCTAAAGTTCAAAATCAAACTTACCATTTGAATATTCAATAAAATGTAGGTATTTATATAACGTTTTTTTATATGCAATGCAATTATTTGAATGCCTAATTGAGAGAACATTTTAGATTGAGAGTATTTTTATTAAGATTTTATAATCGTTAAAAAATATGATTTTATATTAATAAAAAATTATAATTTCATATTATCATTAATTTTGTGAAGTGGTCCAAATAATTAAGTGACAAGCATGAAGAGATTTAAGTATAATTTATCAATTTAATTTTAGGGATGACGATTAATTTTAGGTGCACATTGATACACATTTCTATCTTTAAGGGTACAAATTGAGATTTTTAATCTTTGAGACTGCGCATTGATACAAATTTTTATCTTTGATGATGCAAATTAAGATTTTTGATCTGTAGAGTTACAAATTAAAATTCGAATGATCTTTTGAGGTACAATTTACAATTAACCTTATTTATTAAGTATGAGTTGAATTCACGATCCGATGAGTTTGTATAAGACCTTATTTTTCGTGAGAAGGGTGTCTGTGTTCCTTTGTGATCTTTGAGTTTCACCGTAAATATATAAATTTGTTTAATGCATTAAACGTTCTCACATGAATGAATAATTACCTTTAATTTCCTAAAAAAAAAGGATATCATGGATCATAATTTTGTTTTCCAATAATTATGGATAATTCCGCGTGGAATAGGAATATATCAAAACCAACGTTTTTCATGCATGCACCACGAATTGTAGAACAAATTGTCAATCTTGGGTTCTGCATCAAACCCTAATTCCCATACAAAGGTCCTCACAACTGTTCAAAACTCAGACAGTTCGACCGAGGTTGACAGGACTTGTGTGTGTGTGTGTGTGTGTGTTTATATGTATGTCTGTTGTATGTTTCAATAAATTACCAATATATATTCAATTGGGATTATTTGTATATGAGCAATTGTCCCTAGTTTTTCATGGTCGGTGATGGGACACTTGTGACAATCAAAGGCAATCGAAATATGTCTTTGCATAATGACTTGATCGTTGAAGAAGGTACGCCGAAAAATATTTTGGCACCCTTTTAATCTCTCTTTTTGAGTGACAGAGTTTGTCTTGATACGCCGGAATCGTTCGAACTACTGAAAAATTAATTTATCATCGCTCTTTATACCATCTCTCACGTTTGAGACCATCAACTTTTTAAGTAAATCTCGAATTGAGAAGAGATCTGTTTATTCAATTATTGTGCAAAAGCTGCTACGTACAGTTGGTGCAGGATTTGATTGATTCTTTGCTTGTGGTGTCCATGTTATCAAAGCATGAGAAACGTGTAAAAGATCTGTACACATAAATTTTATTGGCTTCTCTCCAGCAACGTCGATAATGCATACAGAATTCAATGATATGCAATTGGGTAGGGTTCATCGCTCATCTATTAAATATCACTTGTCACCAGGTACAAAATCGACACAAATTTCCAAATTTGAGTTTAACACTAACTGTATTAATCTTAAATGACTTAACCCGTTAAATTTGCTTACTAAATATGTCGACAAAAACTCAAATAAACGTATACGACCCACAATCTTATGCTATTTAGCTAGAGTAAAGTGTCGTGTATTAGATTGCAAATTGTTCGTGTGAGCAGAGACGAAACTAGAATTATGATCAAAGGGGGGGGGGGGGCAAACAATGTTTTAATATCGTTAAAAAATCTTCACACCAAATTGGTAAATAAATAATATCAAGAATACCTAAATTTATGTGAATATAAAAAATCATGTTTATATTTACAAGACATTATTAGAGATGCTTATTTAGAGTAATAATAGACTGGAAAAAAAAAAACCAAATAACGTGACATTACTATTACATAAAAAATTTGAATTTCAAATGTATAAATATGAAATCAAAAATACCATTATGGTAATGCTATGTATTTTGATTCATATTTTTAGTCCTTTTTGTTTTTTATCAGTCTAGCATTACTCGCTTATTTATTACGTAAGAAAGCGAGAAAAAATACCAACTTGAATAATTTAAGTTTAAATCTCAAACTCTTGAACCCTTATACACCTTTGATAGCATAATTTTAACCCTAAAATCTGATGTCAAATTAGGTGGTCTGTTGTTGATTTATAAGTCTTAGTACAAAAAGAGAGAGAAGGCCACATAACTAAAAGTAATGTTATTTGAATATAAAATTTTAATATAATTTAGTGACATAATGGTATGACGTTAGTAGAACTATCGGATCAATATCAAGTTTCAATGTTTAATGAGACTCACAATTAATTTAAATGTCATAATGAATTATGTTTACAAATTAAGTTAGTAAATTAAGTTTCAATAACATTGACCCATAGAATAATATTATTTGAACATAAAAATTTGATATAATTTATTAACATAATAAAGTGACATCAGGAGACCTACTAAATCAACACTAAATGATACTATGAAAGAACAAAACATTTGACGAGGGGGATCCCAACATGATATGTGTACTTGCATTAAATAATCTCACGTGAGCAAGACAAGACCAGTCACGTGACAAAAACATCATTAGACCAAACCATAAGTTAGAAACCGAGCTGTTCAAAGAGCTCGGGAATGAAGTTGAAGAGGTCGATCCTCACCTTAATCGAGCTGTTTTAAATAGTAAAATGGAAAGCCAAAGAGATGTCAATAACTCAGACATTCTGTTTAAATGGATCAATGTAATCGTAGGCCCGGCAAGAGGAATTTCTAAAGAGATCTTAGCAACTTCCCAAACAAAGTTGCCTAATTGGAGGAAAGAGTGTCACCTTGATTCGAGAATCATTGAAACCCTAATTGAACAGGGGTCTATAAAAGGTACAAGAAATCAAGGTGAAAGGTACGTTGAACTTTCATTATCTTCTTTTAATTGTCTTAGTTCCATTATTAGCTTAACTATCGAGTGCTTTTGATCGAAACACTTCAATTTTAGACAGTTAGTTCGTTTTGCAGGAAGCAAAGATTAAAATATCAAGTTCAAAATTCACTCTTATCAGAAATGTTCATTCTTTATTCTCGTAGGAAGTATCCTCAATTTTTACCCCCTACAACATCCAATTTGGTGAAAGTACTACTGTTAGCGGTATCGTACTGAAAATTATAATTTTTTAAAGTTAAGTCATATATTTTTTGAGGTGTAAGTTATAATTTTAAAGGATATAATCGATCATAAAAAATTGAGATCGATACTGAGAATTCATAATGAATCATAGGTGTTTATGATCGATCATTATTTTTTCTTGAACAATTATCACTTTGTTTTTGCAAAGGTATAAGTTTATAATAAAAAATAAAATTGATGATGCTATCCTAATTTTTTTTTTTAAACACAGACAAGATAGGACAAGACAAAAGAGTTGGGACATCTCTACTTGCCATGGGACCCCATGGCTTATGGCAATAAAGATATATTGGCAGATATGACAATATGTCTATGTATATAGAACAGTGGTTCAGTCTCTGCCAGTATTACTAATTGTGTCTTCCTCTACCCCCACTTTGAAAAAATACACATGGTACATATATTGAATTGAGTAATATTATACAAATTAAATATAATTTAAAAAATTATAATTTAAATATATATTATTTTTTAAATGAGTGGCTCTGATCGTTTAAAAAATTATGGCAAATTGATGCTCAACAACAGGGAACTGAAACATTATTGAGTACAACTGGCAATTGATGTTTGACAATGGAATTGAGTAATGTTACAACTCAAATTGTTGTTGCTCTCTTTATGGTCAATTGATGTTTAACAACTGAAACATTAGAATATTGCAATTTTGACCTTCTTTATTATTGATGGTGTTAGAAATTGAGAAGTACGAGACAACGAGATTGAAAAATTCTCCGACAGAATAAATGTGTAGATTGTGTAGTGGGTGAGGCGTGTGAGTAAAACGACAATAGAAATTGATAACATGATAAGTTCAATTGTTCTTCAATTGAAAATTTTAACTAATCCATTCTAATAAAATATTTTACTCTTAGGCTTTATATTACACGGTTGGCCTTTTTAGTGTGCAATTGTTTATCTAGCATTAGAAGGAAAGGGTTTACCT